CTTGTTGTTGTTGTTGTTGCTGCTGCTGCTGCTGTTGGCGCGGTTGTTGTTGCTGTGGTTGTTGTGTGTTGTTTGTTGTTTGAGGTCTGTGGTTGGTTCTTTGGTGTTTGTGGTTTGTTGTTTGTCGTTTGTTGTTTGTTCTTTGTTGTTGGTTGTTTGTTCTGTGGGGTTTGTGTGGCCCAGCTTGGGGTGCTGTTGGCCCAGCTTGGGGCTATGGTGGCCTACCTTGAGGGTGGAGGTGGTGGAAATAGAGTTGTTGTGGTTGTGGTTGTGGTTGTGCTTGTGCTTGTGGTTGTGGCTGTGGCTGTGGCTGTGGCTGTTGCTGTTGCTGTTGCTGTTGTTGTTGTTGATGGTGGTGGTGGTGTTGTTGCTGCGGTTGTCGGTGTTGTTGTTGTGAACGGCTTGGGGCTATGGGCCCATCTTGGGGCTATGTTGGCCTATCTTGGCCCATCTTGGGGCTCTGTTGGCCTATCTTGAGGGCAATTTGGGCCCATCTTAGGGCTATGTTGGCCCATCTTGGGGCTATGTTGGCCTATCTTGCGGCCTATGTTGGCCCATGTTGACCCATCTTAGCCCCTGCCGCCGACCCACCCCCGGTTCACCCCATGTCGACTGAAGGCCCGGTGTTTCGCGTGTGTGAGGTCACAAAAACATCGTTTTTTACGGTGTTTCATAGCCTCGGCCGATCCGATCCCAATTTTTTGTTGGCGAAAGTACAGTAAAAAAAACCGTGGTTTTTCCCCACAACTTTGTCACATACCATCTATCACATACATAAACTTAACACACAACTTTGTCACATACCATCTGTCACATACATGACTTCACACACACCTTCGTCACATACCATCTTACACATTGTCCTTCGTCACACACCATCTTACACATTGTCGGCAGGCGTGGCACAAGGTGACATCCACCTTGGTTTCGTTTTGCGTGGCAGGCGTGGCACACTCTCACATCCACTTTCGTTTTGCGTGGCAGGCGTGGCACTTATGGCACTGGGTGGCGCGCTTGGGCTGGTTTTGGTCGCCCGTGACGCCGCGGCACTTTGCGTGGCAGGCGTGGCGCAATCTCACATCCACCTTCGTTTTGCGTGGCAGGCGTGGCACGTATGGCACTGGGTGGCGCGCTTGGGCTGGTTTTGGTCGCCCGGGACGCCGCGGCACTTTGCCACGGCACTTTGCGTGGCAGGCGTGGCGCAAGGTGACATCCACCTTCGTTTTGCGTGGCAGGCGTGGCGCACTCTCACATCCACTTTCGTTTTGCGTGGCAGGCGTGGCACAATCTCACATCCGCCTGCGTTTTCGCGGCAGGCGTGGCACAATCTCACACACATCTTTGTCACACACCTTCTGTCACATACCATCTTTGTCACACACCATCTTTGTCACACACCATCTGTCTCAAAGTGTTGTTACACACCATCTTTCATACAATCTTTGTCAACAATTCTCTCACGCACATCTTTGTCACACACCTCCCGCTTCACACTCATCATCCTCTTTCACACACACTTTGTCACAATTGCGACCGGTATCTGTTCCAAAACCGTGCGTCAACTATGGATTGAGGAGCATGATGTTGAATTGCAGAGTACCATGCGCCTTATTGCTGCAGAAGAACGTCGCAAGAGAAGAATGCTGCGGGAAGGTTGCCCTGACTCCAGTGATAGCGATTGAATGTCTTGAATGCTGCGGCCTTCAGGACACCGTGGGCGACGCAGCGCAAACTGTGGGAAAAAGGATGTAGCTGAGTCGGTATTGCGTTGTGAAGATTAGCAGTATAACGGTTTCAAGCGTAGTGCCTTAGCATTGGTTTGGCGCAATGTGCAAAGAACCATGCTCACTGACATTGCATTAATGTGACCAGGTGTCTATGCTCTAACGGCATCTTTCCCACATGTCAAGCATTAACATTGGTGTGCTCGCAACAAAAAAGTCCGCGGTGATGCCGCATGCCAGTGTCTACATTGACCGCCTTTCATGTCTTGTAACGTTTTACATTTTGTTACTACAGCAATGCAGCAATGACCGTTTCGTTGAGGTGTTGTCACAGGAGTATAAGTGCCATGCTTTGTTGTTTGTACATGCGCACTGTGTTTTTGCAGCTGTGAGTTCTTCGGCACATGACAAAGGATATCGTCACCACACCAAGGTTTCAAAACCGTCGCTTGCTGTCGTTGACTGAAAAGAAGACGCTTGTATTCGTTTCAAAACCGCATCATGCCTCTTCCACGGAGTGACACGAGTTGCTCTGCCGGCGTCGCTGGCAGCGGACATCCGATAAAGGCTCCAGTGTGTTCTTTGTCACACCTTTTCGATACGTTTGCTCCGTTGTGTCACACGTGTGATTCCTGGGTCAAAGTCATCTTCTGCCAGGTGCTGTCTCGGGACCTCGCATCAACTTTGTCAACGTTGGCGGGTGAGCTGAGCCGATCTGATGGTGAGGATACGCTGGAAGAGCAAACTGCAGTGCTTCTCCAACTACCATTGCCGGCTCTCGGCCACGTCACTGCGCCGGTCGGCTCTTTGTGCCCTGTGCTTTGCTCCACACCTCCCACGCATGCTATCGACGACCACGTTCGCTGCACAGTGAAAGCACTCTCTGGCAACGTCGTGGCGGAACTTTTTGTTCGCAAGGGCCAACCATGGCTCGATGCCATACCTGTTCGCAAGACTCAGCCAGTTGGTTCCTTCGCATGGACCTGACATTGTTCTCAAGCTGATTACCAGCAACGATCCGCCCCTAGTGAACATTCGTGTGGTCATCGGTAAGGCTGCTGCCACCTCTGCGGCTTACAGACCGCAGCCTAGCACCAGTCCGCTCTACGACTTCTGCGAGCTTCAGACTCTCATGCTACGAAATTTGGATCAGGTTCAACTGAGAGACGTTGACCTTCGGTGCCCAGACAGTCCGTTAGCCAATCACCTCCGGCAACGCTTCTATGAGATGCTGCAATGCAACGTGAAGCTGGGAAAGCGGACGCTGTCCGAATTTCGTGCTGATAAGTCTACGAGTCTACGTCAACCTATTACCTTCACGTGCTGGTGTCTTCGGATGGCCAGAGACTGACTTTACGTGCCAAGTTGCTGTATGACCCAGTTTATCTTTGTGTGCTTGTGGTGGAAGACGGCAAAGTCTGTCCATGGAATAAGCCGGCTTTCGCGGAAATCTGCGATGCTATTCAGCATGCTAGCGTATAAAGTCTGTGCGCAAGCTTTCTTATCTGCTGTTTTGGCTGCCGGCATTGTTGATTCAATGTGGAAAGACATGCCAAGCAGATGACACAGTGATCCGGAATGGCTTGGCGCAACGTGCAAAGAGCCGAATCTGTCACACTGCGCAGGTAGCGTCATAAGATGAAGAAACTGTGACTGTGTCGCAAGAAGATGCTGCCTGATGTCAGCATTCCGAGGCTTCGCATTGTTGGTTGATGTTTGTTCGCAGACGAGGGAATGTACTTTAAACTGTGATATGTTGCAGGCGAAAGTTGATTGATGCCTGTCTGACATATGATCTGAACTGTTTGTGTCTGGTCTGTTTGAAATGACATATTGCAAACTTCTGTCCGTTTGCTGCAGGCGGAGGTACCTATTCGATTGCTTGCATGGACAGAGAGAAGCGTGTGTGGCACGGCGGCCCAGTGAAGTTTCTGGATCGGAAGCTTTGGCAATCCTCACTGAGAAACACATTGCATGCAGAGGATAGTGTTCCACATGTTTCACGCTTAAATGTTAGTGTCTGGCTTTAGTTAGTCCGTTGTTGACAAGCTTCTGCAGCGATGGCAACGTCGCGAGACCGAGAAGAACGTGGAAGATTGCAGGAGCCGAGCAACAGGCGGAATCGCCTTCCTGATCTCATCAGTGTGACAATGAGCGACGGCTCACTTGTAGAGATCAACTTGACTGGAGCCAATCGAGAAGAAAGGGAAGATGTGGCACGGTTGTTGGACGTACACACTACGGTAGCCATGGCACCACCTGCTGCACACCGTGAATCAAGAGAGCGGTCGCCAAGATTGGCGTTTTCCTCAGGGCCTACCCTTCGTGTAACCTCACCAGATGTACAAGACCGTTTCAGGCAACTACCACCACCGCCCATCGCAAGGCATGGCGAGTCAGCTTCTGATGAAAGAATGCCGCTTGAGCGAGCTGGAACCGCGAACTTCGCGCAACTGCGACCCCAACGATGTGGAGGCGCACCCATGTCGAGGAGTCGAAGGCATCAACGGTGGCCACAAGCGCGGGGTCATTGCCTATGTCCACTGCTCCAGCGGAATCTCCGTCTGAACAGCGTCGCGAGAAGACGTCGTGACAGCAGGCCACGGGAGAAGAAATGTTTCTGTAATTTTCTGTAATTATGATACATATCTTTCTGTACATATCATGAAATGGTTTGACGCAATGTGCGAAGAACCGTTTGATGCTGTAGCAAAAGTGGTTGAGTGCGTTTCTGAATATGATGAAACAAATGGTTTGACACAATGTGTGAAGAATCATTTCTGGCCCGGAAAGAAACATTTCCTCGTCCGCAATGAGTACGGAGTAGCTTTGGTTGTGCAGTGTTCTCAACGTTTGTTTGTCGGAAAAAATCAGCTGCTTACCAATTGTTACATTGCAGGTGCACAGTTACCAACGAGAATGTCTTGCCTTTGCATCTGTGTCTGTGTGCCGTGCTTTCTTTCCATTTGACATTCCCCGTGGTGTGTTGCTTCCATTGCGAAACGAGAAGCGGGGAACCTAGCACATTAATTCGAGAGCATCTATACGGTTGATCAATAAGATATCTAGTGTGGTTAATCTATAAAGAATAGATTGGTTCTTCAGGTTCATATTGTGACAAGATAGCATGCGTGCTAAGTTGAGGACCCTACACAGCAATTCATTGCTTAATATATCCAATATGGTGGAACTAGTAAGTTTCATTGGTTGCCGCTGTCATGTAGTAACAAGCTAGCACGCATGAATCATAATGAAGCCTCTGTGTGTTTGCTACTGGCTCAGGTGCCCATCCAGTGAGCTTCTTGGACGGAGGGCAGGCGCGTGTTGCACGGCCCGACACTGAGGCAACGAGCCTATGTCCTCGGGAGCAAGAGCTTTGACCCAATGTGGGAAGAAGATGGAAGAAGCGTATGCAGATGCATCGCGAACCGACACCTATTTGAATGTCTATGACGCCTCAGTGTTTCTGAAATTCGTGGTTGGTTGACATGCTTGGAAAAAACTTCACAGTTAGCGTCATAACCATAGTGCTTGCCACTGTGACTGTGTCGTGACTTGACAGGCATGCGCTCTGTACTTGTCTTCCATAGTTGCATTGACAACCAGCTACATTCGTGTTCTACACTTTTGCGGCCAGGTACCTTTCCTCTGTGTCATCGTCGTCGGATTCGTGGCTGTAGGACAGGCGCGGCTGTCAGGTAGCACATCTCGTTGCACCACGTGGAGCACAGAAGATCATGGAACATCTCATTCAGCCCATTCCAGGTCCGCAGTGCTGCCGCATGCAGAGCAGATGACATTGCATCGCTGGCAAAAAATGTCTGCACTGGCGCGCGCTCACGTCACTTTCACACACACCATCTTTCACACGCAACTTTGTCACACACATACACATACATACATACATACGTACGTACGTGCATGCATACATACATACGTACATGCATACTATCTTTTCACATACTTTCACACACAGTCTTTCACCACCTCCTTTGTCTTTCCTTCCTTCCCCGTCCCCGCTACAACCTCTGAAACTCAATATTGGAAGAAGTTGACTTGTGGGGTTATCCGGTCCTTTAATTACGTTGTCTTTTGGTTCCGCGGAGGGGTCCAGGAAGGAAACATCTTGGAGGTCTTTCCACAGAGATGGTCTCACATATCGCCAACATAGCCTCAACATAGGCCCCAAGATGGGCCAACATGGGGCCAACATAGGCCAACGTAGGGCCAACATAGGGCCAACACAGGGCCAAATGGGCCAAGATAGGGCTAACATGGGCTAACATAGGGCCAGCATAGAGCCAACATAGGCCAACATAGGCCCAACCTGGGCCCAAGATGGGCCCAACCTGGCCTAACATGGACCCAAGGGCCCCAACGTAAGGACCAAGACTGACCTGGCCCCTAGATGGGCCCAACACAGCCTCAAGACCGCCCAACCTTGCTGCGCCACTCAACATGGGCCAACATAGGCCCAACATAGGCCAACATAGGCCCAATATAGGGCCAACATGGTGCCAAGATTGCTTGGCCGGCGCTCGGCTGTCAGGCGCAAGCCTTTAAATTAATGACTTTATAATAATGTATATAAAACGTCATGCCACCAATTCAATCTCCATGCCATTGGACAGGAAGATTCCGTGCACCAAAACGTCACCGCGTGTCAAACCTTGTCCCAGCGATCCTTTTCATTTGATTCAAGAGCGGCTTTGGTTTTGACATGCTTCCAATGCTTCCAAGAAAACGATGTCATACTCTATCACCAAACAGCATCATTCCGTTCTAAAACTTTGTTTTGAAAAACATTTCAAAGGACCTGTTGACAACTGAATTGTTTACCTCTTTCACATATCGTAGTTGGATCACATACGCTTTAAATTGATCCCCGAAATGACTGGAAAGCAACAACGCCTTTTGAACATCTCTCACTACATCACACAAGCAGCTTGGCCTTGGTCGGCTCTTGTGATGCGAAGCAAACTTTCCGTTTGCCTACTCGGCACAGATAGGTGCTGGTTGATGTTCGGAGATTGACCATGGTTACACCTCTCCACTATTGACGTCTCCGTATTGCTAACTGAAACAAACATGACCCAAAAGATTAGGCAAAGGAAAGGACCATTACCAAAAATTCCCTCTCGAGCCAGCGCACGTTTGCTAACCTTGATCAGCTTTTTTCAAAAGACGCTTTGGCTTTCACACTTTCACTGTACCCACAGAATTCAAAGCGGTTTCGGGCCTCTGAAAATTGCCAAGTTGAGAAGATGCATCCCTCGTCCGCTGGCCCCACGTGGAAAGCCCCCACCTGGAAAACATCGTACGAGGTCAAGTTACTAAATTACCAAGGCCAAAAGAATTACGTGCAGTTGATGTCAGCTATGTCAGCAATGTTCAGGCGCTGCCCCTGTTCCGCAAATCCATAAAGCTTGAAATGCTTGAAATGTCATGGATCTTTCTGTTACGTCTCGGGTATTCTGGGTTCCAGTACTGGTCCCAGTTTGCATCACGGAATCCGGCCTCTTGGTGCGGAAGGAAGCTCGAACAGCCACTGAAAAAAAAACTGCAGATCAAGGCATCAAACAAGGCAGCAAACAGTCCCAATCATGTCTAAACATGCCGTGCACGACAAATCGAATGAATCAAACTGCAATGAGCGACATGGTCGGTCAGTTAACACATTCCAATCGTCCTTTTCACATCTTTTCACCATGGTTCTCCGCAGGTTGCAGTCCAGCCAGACAGCACCGGGCGGAAGGAGCAAATAGATGACCCCATACATCCGCTAGGGTGAACCAGAAGAGACCCGAAGCTAACCGAACATCGACTCAGCTGTCATTGACAGCTCACTAGTATTCAGTAGCTCTGGGGTCAGGCCAACTCCGCTGAGCTTCTTCACCTACCGGCAGCATACTGCTACTGCCAAGGCAAAGCCAGAAGCAATTGCAGCAAAATAATATGTCAAATCGATGAACAAGATTAAAGAGGACATTAAAGGACATTCAGATTATTTAAGATTAATCTGTTCCATGCTGCAGCAAGTTCTTCAAGGACATACATCCACAAACACAAGTTCTGTAGCTTGCGCAGCGGCTGTGTTTTTTCCTCCGAGCTATGCGTCCTCCATGGCTTCCAAGATGCGGTTCACCTTTGCGTTCCGACAGGTTTCCGACAAAATGTAAAACTCTAATCAACATTTCTTAACTTCTTATGTATAAAACCCAAATGCGCGATCCAGAATCAAGAACATCCCCGAAGCACAAGACAACACCCAAAGCATATCGAAGCATATCAAAGCACGGTACAAAGAATGATAAACAATAAACACTGATAATAAATGCATGTTTTGAGTTTCAAACATATCAAAACCCAAACTCTTGAGACGTCCGCCTCCTGTAAGGTGTTGTAATGAAGTAAACCCACGCCTTAGTTGCCAAGGATCCGTATCAAACAACAGACACGCGCATACACGCAAACACGCACACACACACATACATACATACATACATACATACATACATACATACATACATACATACATACATACATACATACATACATACATACATACATATATACATACATACATACATACATACATACATTACAGACAGACAGACAGACAGACAGACATACATACATTACATACAGACAGACATACATTACATACATACATACATACATACATACGTACATACGTACATACGTACATACGTACATACGTACATACGTACATACGTACATACATACATACATACATACATACATACATACACACTCATGCATGCATACATACATACATGCATACATACATACGTACATGCATGCATGCATGCATACATACATACACTCGTACATACATACTGCATGCATGCATACATACATACATGCATTGCATTACATTACATTACATTACGTTACATTACATTACCTACCTACCTACCTACCTACCTACATTACATACATTACATACATTCCATTCCATTCCAGTCCATTACATTCCATTCCATTACGTTACATACACACATTACATTACATACAAACACATTACATTACATACTTTACATACTTTACATACATTACATTCATTACATACATTATATACATTACATACATTACATACATTACAGGCATTACATACATTACAAACATTACATACATTCATTGCATTACATGACATGACATGACACTACAATACATACATACACATACATACACACATACATGCATACATGCATACATTACATACATTCCATACATACACTCCATACATACATTCCATACATACATACTTACATGCATGCATACATACGTACGTACATACAAACATACGTACATACATACATACATACAGACAGACAGACAGACAAACACACACAAACATATACATATATAATATAATAATCGAAGGAAGTTTAGTTTAGAAGTCAAACTTCCGATTCAATATGGACAGATGAGAAGCAGAGATGGGAAGAGCCAGAGAAGAGAAGCGAAGAAGAAAGAAGATCAAAAAGGAGAAAGTCTCTTAAAAAAAATAGATCCAGGTGCGCGAAAAGGTATGAAAGTCGCGAAGCACTGTGCTTTTCCCATGATTTGTGGCTCCGGAGGGTCGAAAAGTGGGCTCGCTAAAGCGGCGGGTGCGGAGCCATGTGGTCAGATGAGAGATGAAAAGTTGAACGCCATTGTGGCGCGAAGCGCATTTCCAAGTCAAAATGTACAAAGCACCTCAGCTTCGGAGCGCCTTTAGAAGTTGAGATGTCGAAAGAAAGCACGCCATTGTGGCCCGAAGCACATTTCCAAGTCAAAATGTACAAAACACCGCAGCTTCGGAGCACCTTTAGAAGTTGAGATGTCGAAAAAGTGCACACCGTTGTGGCGCGAAGCACATTCCGAAGTTAAAGTGCGCAAAGCACCACATTCTCGCGCCATTTTTGGACGTTGAAGCGTCGTTTTGTGTGGCAGGCGCAAGGGATTGTGCACCTTGTCAAAAGTGAGCAGAACGTGAGGATTTTGTGGCATTTCCAAAAACGATGGCACGCGTGGGACGTTTGACGAGGAACTGCAAAGATGCATTTTCCGTGGCAGGCGCAGTGCAAGAAACATGTTCATTAGGGCATTGATTTCCTGAGAGGGGTTGCATTTTGGAGCATCAGATCTGTAGGTTTGCTGAGATGATTTTGCGTGACAGGTGCAGCACTTCATATGAAATGGCATCACTTTTTCGTGGTGGGCGCAGTACTTTAGACAGGTGGAGTGGAAAAATCGCAAAACGCATTGGTACGAGGCCGTCAGCTCTGCACTCAGCTTTCCATTTTTGAAGGAAGTCTCGCAGAATTGCTTCGTTTTGATGTTGTCAACTTCAAAAAATGAGGAAGTCTCGCAGAATTGCTTCGCTTTTGACGTTGTCAATTAAAAGCTGAGGAAGTCTCGCAGAATTGCTGCGTTTTTGCGATTGTCAAGTTCAAAAACTGAGGAAGTCTCGCAGAATAGCTTCGTTTTCAAGCTTGCAGATAGACAGATAGATGGAGAGACAACTACAACTGCAACGACAACTACAAGTACCACTACACTACACCACTACTACAACTACAAGTGCAAATTTACTACGCTACATTACACAGCACTAATTACATCTAAGTACGCTACACTACACATATTACACTACAACTACTACAACAGCAGCTACTACAACAGCAACTACCACAAAGGCAACTACTACAACAGCAACTACTACAACAGCAACTACTACAACAGCAGCTACTGCAACAGCAACTAGCACAACAGCAACTAGTACAACAGCAACTAGTACAACAGCAACTAGCACAACAGCAACTAGTACAACAGCAACTAGTACAACAGCAACTAGTACAACAGCAACTCGTACAACAGCAACTCGTACAACAGCAACTAGTACAACAGCAACTAGTACAACAGCAACTAGTACAACAGCAACTCGTACAACAGCAACTCGTACAACAGCAACTAGTACAACAGCAACTAGTACAACAGCAACTACTACTACTATTACTACTACTACTACTACCACCACCACCACCACCACCACTACTACCACTGCTAACACTACTGCCACTGCTACCACTACTGCCACTACTACCACTACTACCACCACCACTACCACCACTACCACCACTACCACCACTACCACCACTACCACCACGACGAGGACGAGGACGAGGACGAGGACGAGGACGACCACTACTACTACTGCTGCTGCTGCTGCTACTGCTACTGCTACTGCTACTGCTACTGCTACTGCTACTACCACTACCACTACCACTACCACTACCACTACCACTACCACTACCACTACCACTACTACTACTACTACTACTACTGCTACTACCACATCTACCACTACCAGTACCACAGCTACAACTACAATTGCAGCTGCACTACATTACACTACAATACACTAATTAAACTGCAGTACATTACAGCTACAAATACAACTACACTACACTAAGCAACACTACACTACACTAATTACATTACATTACGCTGCAACTGCAGCTACCACTACATTGCACTACACGACGCTATACCGCTACAATACACTAGACTGCACTACAATAAACCACGCTACAGTACACAACACTACAGTACACTACAATGCACTACACTATTTACACCACACCACAACTACAACTGCAGCTACACTACACTAGTTACACTACATTACAACTACAACTTCAAAACTACAACTCCACTACAACTACAACTACAACTACAACTGCACTACACCACACTACATCCAGCAGTTGTGGTGAAGTGACCACTACAACCATTGCAGCCACTCTAGAAAACACAACTCCAACCACCTTTCGGTCCATCAGTGGATTCGCTCTGCCTTCCGTGATTCACAACAACCAACCTCTCCTATAGGTTTCCTATTTTTGAAACTTCCGCCGCCGCCTTGTGCGGTACTACTGGTATATATATATATTTATATACACGTACATGGTAGAATTATGTGTCTATGCAATTCGGTGAATATCATGCACCAAGAAGCCAGCTTGATTTTCTAACTTCACCCATCTTCGTACCAGGAGCTTGCATCTTGTTTCATTCATCGTGCTTTAGCTTCACAAGAAACTGCCACACAAGGTCATCTGGATTGACTGAAAGAAGACTTTCTGCTCATCGAGAGACGAGTCATCCCTTCAACAGTAGCACCGTGTTTCTCCCAGAAACCGGCATAGTGATTTCCAGCAGTGCACCAAATTCCCCTAACAGCGATGCTCAAAATTCTGAACCACATCGGCTTGAAACCCGAGCACTTTCACACGATCAGCCGATGCTTCGCCCATGCTGTCACAAGAGCTCGAACTTTGTGACAGACTTGTTGCACCAGCCTCTCGCACAGCTTGTCTGCTAGCTCCTGGCAACACCCAAACGGGAGGTGTTCTGCTGTCTTGATCTATCTTGATCTGCTTGATCTATCTTGATTTGATATATGTTCAATTCAATATTGTTCAATCATTTTCGAACCAATTTACTGAGAATTTAGGGTCAACCGCAGCGGCCGTCCTGTGCAGCGAGACCCTTCTTGGCCACTGCAAAAGTCGATGTGCGCTGCTGCACCTTTGTCGTTCGCTGAACAGGAGAGATATGCTTCGTGCCGAAAAGATTCAAAAACGGCATGTTACAAAACATGTTCTTGTTTCTTTAGCAGTGCATGTTTGAAAGCATTTCATGGCTGGAACTGCCTGCCAAACATCAGTCTCTGCTTATGGCTGCTAAACCTTGAAAGCCATGCGACGTCTTCAGGATCTGCAACACCAAGCCTTAGAAGCCCAAATGTAAATGCACGTGGATCTATAGATCCAATTATCAAAACATGTACCTATTCCATGGGGCTTGCAATGCATGTCATGGGCTGTGGACTGTCATGCTTTTTGAAGAAGTGGGCACAGCATGACAACACAACAAGCAGGCAAACCGCAAGCTTTCCAACGCATTTGAATTGTGTGGGTGACATGGCCTGGACGCTTTGGCATTCTTGGAAGCTATTCACTAATCCTACAGGCAAGCTATTGGATTCTATCGAGAGCTATTGGATGCGAAGGGAGACAGGGTGGCGTCTGGATTTGCCACACTCTTGGCCCCAAGCAGGCTCACGTTGGGAATGTTCTGGAGACCTTCCTTGGCACAGGAACGGCATTGATATGTCATTGAGTGGAAGCTGAAACTTTGGTCCATGGTTGCTGCTATTATTTGCAATGGTTCCTGTGAACTTGATGCCAAAGATGCCAGCATCCGGCGTTTCAACTCATTCTCGTGCGCGCAAATGGCACGAAAACCTGTTGTCATGGTGATATGAAGACAATGGTGATATGAAGAGAACAACTCTTCAGGAGGTTTCCTTGCACCTCTGCTTGTTTGCATGCCTTTTTTCCCCAACAGCATAAGCTAATGGGATCTGCGGAGTGGACTGGTGCAGGGTCGCGGAGAAGGTTGCGGAGAAGGTCTGGGAGGCTTTGGTGCAGAGCCACGTCAGGTTCAACAGGGTTCCACAGAAGGTCCCGGAGACGGTTGCGGAGAAGGTCTGTTTGGTGCAGAGCCAGGTCAGGTTCAACAGGGTTGCAGAGAAGGTTCCAGAGAAGGTGTGGGAGGCTTTGGTGCAGAGCCAGGTCACGTTCAACAGGGTTCCAGAGAAGGTTTCGGAGAAGGTTGCGGAGAAGGTTTGTTTGGAGAAAGTGTGGGAGGCTTTGGTGCAGAGCCAGGTCACGTTCAACAGGGTTCCACAGAAGGTTCCGGAGAAGGTTGCGGAGAAGGTCTGTTTGGTGCAGAGCCAGGTCAAGTTCAACAGGGTTGCAGAGAAGGTTCCGGAGAAGGTTCCGGAGAAGGTCTGGGAGGCTTTGGTGTGGCGGAGAAGGCCTGGGAGACTTTGGTGCAGAGCCAAGTCAGGTTCAACAGGGTTCCGGACAAGGTCCCGGAAGGCTTTGGTGCAGAGCCGGGCTAGCTTCAACGAGGTTCCGGAAAAGGTTCCGGAAGGCTTTGGTGGAGAGCCGGGCCAGGTTCAACGAGGTTCCGGGTTCCGGAAGGCCTTGGTGCGGCCAGGGTCAACGAGGCTTCAAGTAGGTTCCGGTGCGATTCCGGGAGTGTGTCGGCGCAGCTTTTAGGTCAAGTTCCAGCAAATTTCGGACGAAAAAAATGAAAATAAATTACTGCTTCTGTTGGGGATACCAGCGAAGCGTTTTTTTTTTTCGAGGGCTCTGCTGTGTATGTGTAATGATCTGGCACTGAGTTACTGGATTTCACAAAGTATGCAAACCTGCCAACTGTGCTTCAGAAACAGCAACATCACCAACATCTGTTGATCGCTGACTTGCATGCCCTTTTCAGTTTCATGGGGAAGAAATACTGCCGTTCCAATGAGGCCTGATCCCGTTTTACAGGAATGATTGATGATCATTATACGTATTTGATCGTATTTATATAAATTTGTACGTCAATGTAAACAGGGCATGGCCTGTCTCGATGCGCTCTGTCATGGTTGCATCCACATCTGCACCGCCAAAGCGATCACCCAACTGGGCTAAATACTTCACAGCCTCACTGCAGTTCTTATTGGCATCCCATCAAGTTCTGATTAGCTCTGAGAACTGTACCCAAAATTCCGCAAACTGCATAGCATTACCCTTGAGTGCCTTGCAGCTGTGACTCCTGCAAGCGCCTGCGCTGCGCAGGATTTGAGAGAATGAGGTTTGCGAATTCAAAAGGCCGCAGCGCATGGGGAGTGCTCCAAAGGACCCGGATTTATTTGATCAAGCCTTGCCACCACTGTCGGTATTTGATGGTATTTGTGTCTTCTGTGCAAAGCAACTTTTAAATCGAAGAAAATCAACGAAGGAGAGCGAAAGGTATCTGGAGTGAAGCAAAGTTGCAATTTAACATGGGAGACCAGGGCTCCAGAGAGTTGCCAGAGCAATTGGGGAGTTGCACATGGCTTTTCTAGCTCGGAAGATCAAAAGAAGGACTGATGATGGTGGAAGGCACAGAGAAAAAATGATAATGGCTTATCATTAATGATGATGATGATGATGATGATAACGACGATGACCATCGCCAAGCTTGTGAGAATGCAGGGTGAGGAGGAGGATACGGCGAGTGATGACGATGAAAAGGATGAGAAGGGCTGAGGAGAAGAACGCGAAGAGATATCATGTGTACAAAATAACGCAGCCAAAATGGACGCCATATGGAGACAAAGCAGTTGCCCCGACAAGGTGCTCAAGCCTCGTAGTTCTGCGTGCCCAACTCCCAGCGCGACATGTTCCCGTTCTCAATGCTTGGCAAAGAGTTGTCTGAAGAGTCCTCAGATCATCTCAGATCTGTATTTTCAGGTTTCAGCAAAGGGATTATGTTATAATACCCCAATGGACTGATAAACCTAAAACCGTTAAGCAAGCAGCTAAAGCGCTTTTTACACCTGAGCCGCAACAGCTACCGTAAGCATACTATATTATACAATGTGTTTTACATGGGATGCAATTACATCCCCCTCAGGTGAGCCGGTCACGGCAAGGCTGCCCATTTACCAGGGCGAGACTATTTCGGTCTGCCTTACCGCTACAGCTTTTTGCAGACCTGAGGAAAACACTCAAAAGTAATGCGGCTATATACATAAACCAACCGTCACTGCGAGGTGCGACGCAACTCTATCCCTGCTCCCATTCAATGCGGCCGTGTCTGATGACCTTTTGGTACCAGCGTCCATGCCATTTCTGCCATTCTCCAGTGTACTGTCGATCTTGGCGAGCACCACTGGGGCGATCCTGTTGGGGCGATCCTGGGGCGAGCACCACACACTTGCCGACGCGGATGAGGAGGCTGCTTCAACTTTGGCGGATGTTCGGGCAACCGGGCTAGCGGTGCCTTTCTTTGATGGCCCTTGCCCGTAGGCACCAGTCTGTTCGGCCTTCCTTTTGGCTTGATTTTGCTCCTTGGCTCTCTCAGACTGTTTGCGCTTCTCCTCAGCGTTCTTCTTGTAAGAATCTTCATTTTGGGCCTTGATCCATTTCTGATGTCTCTCAGCGTCATGAACTGCCACCTGATCGACACCCGTGCATGAAAGCAGCAAATTGTTGTGAGGATTCCTCTCCAAGTATTCAATGTACTCCTCCTCGGAATAGACCTCAGTTCTGTACATATAGATCCATGGCTGGTCGATGTACTTGAAAGAACTGCACGTCAAGTCGGCTAGGGAAGTCCAGGTAGACAAGCCTCATAGCATTGTGTTCCAACTGCGACTGTTCAGATATTCCCAGCCTGACCTGTGCTTTGGTCCTGTCCGGTTTCGGAAGATGTGCTGCCCGCAGAAGATCATAGCGTGGGCAGCCATATTCATTCTCACCTTCGTTGAGGACACTCCCTGCAAAAGTTGCATCTTTCGTGAACCTTTCTGCAACAGAGTCATACCCAAGTAAGGCTCAAAGCTCTCTCGTGCCTGCTCTTGGCACGTCTGAGCAAATCTGCTTCGGCCGAGAAGTCCAAGTGACTCCAACTGATGCTGTGTGATGCTCTGCAAGTACTCTCCCTTGAAGTCATAGTAGAGCCCCAACTTGTGAAGGGCGGTTTTGCGGCGTTCAGCAATCTTGGTTCTGTCGGCCTTGCCAGCTCCTTCAAGTATCAATCCGCAGACGTCACATTCAAGTTGTCCTTGGAAGGTTTCTGCAAAACATCGTTCACATTGTTTGGTCTCAATCTTGATGGACACCGGCTTGTTCTCCTCTGATGGTTGGTCATCGCCTTTAGAGCGAGACTTCTGTTTTGACACAAGTGACTTTGAGCTTGAAGCCGGCTTTGATGATGGGGATCCTGCAGAAGAAACCTTTTGTTCTTTTGGACGGGCCTTTGGAAGCGCAATCTTCGGAACAGTTCCAAGAAGGCCGCAGCCGATGATGCCGCTGGCGCAGCTGCGGGCACGCTGGAGAGAGCGGCTTTCTTCTTTGCAGGTTCATCTTCTTTTGCTGGTTCAACTGCTGCTGTCACTGCCTTTGGAACTTCAGGTGCAGATGGTGCAGAAGCTCCTTCTTTCGGCGGTGTCTTCGGAGCATCAGCCTTTGGTGGTGTCTTTGGACCTCCCATCTTTGGCGGAGTTTTGGGAGCCTCAACAACTGATGGTGGTTTTGGAGCTTCACCTTTTGGAGGGGGCGGCCACAACCTGCTGTGTGCATAGCCTGGCATACCCGACGTTTGAGCTACATTGGGTGGCGGAGGCTTCACTTTTCCTGGGAAAACCAGTGGTGCAGCGGGCGCGCCAGTTGAGGCGGCCGGAGATGCGGATCCAGATCTCTGAGAAGATTTTGCCTCGTAGGACTTCACAAGTTCCTGAACCCCAACTTCTCCCCCGCTGCCGTGAGCAGATTGCGCCGCGTCCTCATGTCGCCGATAGAGGTTGGTCTGCTTTTCAGTATCGTCAACCGAGATGATGAGTTCTGTGAAGGAACCACGTCACTTGTCAAAATTCCATCAGATGCATCAGATGATGTCTTGAAGAAAATGCCCCCGCTGCGAACAGCTTCTGACATGGCCACACGAATTTCGATAGGACGCTCAGCCCTGAGCCCGCTGACGTACTTCTTGTCGCTGACCTGCACCTTGCTGAAGTACGAGTGCGCTCTACCTAATGAGACGCGTTCTCCACCACCAGAAACAAATCCATCACGAAGAATTCCTTTCCAATTACCCGTCATAGTACGGTGATAGATTGCCCCAGGACATTGGTCAGCAGTTGTGATCTTCTTCCCCTCTGCATTCATTCTCTGAATTGCAGCTGCCCCAGAACTTGCGCAGATCTCGATAGCGTTGAAGGCATCAGATGCTGCTGCTGTGTCCATTGCACGCTTGGTGTGGCCCTGCACTGCACGGATTCTGAAAGGCCAGTAGGCTAACCCTTTATGGGTTGCCTTCTGGTGCTCGACAATGCATTGGAACTCAAAGCGGCACTTGCTGTCATGATAGAGGAGTGCAATCAATTCCATAACTGACATGGGGTTCACCTTTTTGGGAAGCATCTTGTTGAACATTCGAAAGAAGTCATCCAGGTCCGTCCAAATTTCCTCATTGAAAGCAGTTGCATCTTGACCTGGCTGGCCACGGGTCACAGCATTGACTTTTGTCTTGTGACGATCCATTCGTTCAGGGTATCGCAACTTGTCAGCACCATCCATCTCCCAGCATGTTTTGGTGATGAGTTCATAAGAATGACCATCAACAACACAATGCTCAACCACCTCCGAGTTGATGTTCTCGTCAAGCATGATCCTATACTTTTCTACATGGCCTTTGGCATGCTTTGGACAGACCGTGCCACTGGGCTCATTCTCTGGGGTGGGCGCGTCAGTTGAGGCGGCCGTCGGTGATTCTGGCTCTGCAGGCGGAGCCTTGGCAGATGGATCTGGAGGGGCAGCATGGCTGGCTTTGGCCTTTCCCACTGATGGTTGTGCCGTAAAAGATTCTGGCAAGCTCATGCTAGGAGGCATAGACTTGTTGGTCTTCTCCCGCAGCGATGTCAAGAGTTGCACAAATTTGACAGGAAGGTGCTCCATTTTCGGTGCAACATTACGCATTGTTGCTTCTCCCTGTGGCCGTCGTCTTTTGAACACTGACTGCTGATACTGGAGCAAATGCAGTGTTGCCATGACATAGCCAATCATTTCGTTTCTGTTCCATTCTGTCTCGAAGGCATGAAAATAATCCCTGAGTTCGAGCCTTGGCGGCAACTTGTCATTCTGGATCCACCTCAGGCGTTCATTGTCCTCCAAGTCTTCAGGCGCTCCATGAATGTCGTGAAAACCAATCGCAGACCGTAGGTAAGAGGGTCGGGCTCGCTGATTAGAGCGGCCTGATCAACCCCCAATTCCTTCAGCTGTTTGTTCCACCACACAATGTTGCCCTTGACCCTGTCCATGATGGCGTTCCAATCGCCCTGTGGATCCCGTTGCCCTCACATGGGGAGGGGTTCAACTCCATATTCCCCGCCAGACCAAAAGATCACAGACATGATGCGAATTGCAGAACCGTAATTGGAAAACTTCGCCATCAAATCCTTGGTCATAGCAATATTTGCTTTGCAGAGTTGTTGAAGATCCTTGCCCCAGAGCATATCATGACCGATTTCGAGAATCATGTCGGCATTCCGCTTCAGGGTGTGCTTCTTCAAAGTCTTACCCTTTCCAGTGATCAGCGGAAGCGTCGAATCTGAAGTCACCACATAGATGGTGGGCACGACGTCTATCGCCGGCCTTGATGTTCCAGGGACGTACTCCGTGGGCAGCTTCAAGTCCCAGAGCGACTCTTGCTCAAGCTCGGACAAATGACGAAGCTCCTTAGCCCATGGCACACCAGTCAGGGAATCAGTTGACATCGACTAAGTCCTCGATCCTGTTGCCTGACGCGCAGATCGCTGACGAAGCAAGGACTGTAGAAAAGATGTCCTCCCACCCTGCATGCCTATCCTCCTGAACATCAAGGCACTTCCGAAAAGCAAGCCATTCCGACATTTTGCTTTGCTGGGGCACGGTTTCTAAACCGGCCGACTTGAGAGCCCGAACGTTCATCTTTTCAGTGATTGTCATTGGAGCATCATCAGAACGTCGGCTCATGGCGGGCAAGGCTAACCTTTTCCTGTTCTTGGCGGTTTGTGCCTGGTTAGCTCTGGAAAGAAAACAACGGTGGATGAAGTCAGTCAAGGTAAACGTGTAGTTCTCTGCAAGTCTTAATGCAGTACCCAGGCTTTGACCATGAGTATGAGAACCATCACAAACATACTCCGATAGACTTGACAACTCTTCCATGTTTGTTGCTATCATCCAACCCTTTTTCATTGGGTTCCCTTCCAAGTCAGTGACCCCAAACTGGCAACCGTGGAATGGATACAACTTTAGGTCTTGCTTTTTCAGAAAAGATTGAACCATTGGCCACTTCCAGTACTTGCAATTCTTTGAGAGTTCGAATGCAATTGAAAGGTGTGGTCCATCGATCTCATGAATGAGCTTTTGAAGTGATTTAAAAAGCTTTGTAAAATCCTTTTGTTGCTGTTCGATTCTTTCGGCCCCTGAGTCAGTCAATCTGTTGATGTAACCCCATGGACTACCACCAAAACATGGCAAAGAAGCGTAAAGCAAAACTTCACCCTGTGGATTATTCTCCCTGAATGACTGGACTTCTTAGGCTAGCCATTTGCAGCAGCCTGGGGTGCTACCATCTTCTTTCTCAGTTACTCGAATGAGTCTACACCCCTTGCTTGCTTCCCGTGGTGTGCATAGCTTGGAATCATTTGAACAGCAGAATTCAATCAACATTCTTTGGAATGAGTTTGAGCTATTGTAGCCCCCCTGATCGTTGGCATTTGCTGGACACGCAGACTTGGGATCTACTTGGCGCACCTTCGTCTTGTCGTCGGCTTGAATCCAAGCCTTCCCAATGCTTATCAGCCTCAGAACGTGCTCCCACTTCGTCGGTGAAGTGTGAAGGCTTGGTCAGGATGCCGGCGGTTTGCCAGTCAGTCCCAACATTGATAAGGTCGAATTGTTCTTCCTCCATTTGAAACAGATATTTTGGGTCTTGCTGGCATACCTCATAGTTGAAGAGTTTCGGGTGCTCATGACAGTGATTGAAGCTTGATTATCTTCCATGAGCTTCACTTGATAAAATTCCAGAAAATGGGCTTTCAATCCGTTGATGTATGCCGCAGAAAGGCCCCCCCCAAACATTGCCATACCTGATCTCGTCAGTTTCTTTGTCAATCCGAATAAAAACAGGATCATCTTGTTCAGGGGTGTTTGGCTTGGGGTTTGTCCCAGCCTTCTGCGACATCTTCCTGAAAATGCCCAACTGCTCCAACAAAGCTAACATGGGCCATCCCTTCCGCCCTGAGTGCATGATTGGCTGACACGACTTCTGCCTCCGTGGACGAGTTCGCTACAACTGTCTGCTTCTTGCTGAATGCATTCAAAGGGAGATAGGTGTTTGGACCAACTAGAAACATTGCACAACCAGAAGTTGACTTTGAATCATGTTCCCCTGCATGCTCAGCATCTGCGAACAGCAACAACTGGCAATCCTCGAATGAGTCCCCCACGAAACCCTCCAGAAACACATCTGTTGTAGACTTGATATATGATACGAGTCGATGTAAAGCTATGTCACATTCGATCGACCATTTTGTCACTCTAGATGCTAAACTTTGGGTAGCTGTAAGGAGATCAGGGCGTGCCATACGGGCAGCAAAGAGAATCTTCTTGAGAACCTTAGATGCAATCGGCTGTAACCTCCCTGGCTTCTCATTCTCGTCAAGGGTAGGTCGAGCGATCCCCGCTTCTGTGAAGGGAGTTGCAACTACTGGCAAGTGGCTTTTCTGGACCCTTGCCAGCTCGCAATACGCATCAACGCAAGATTCCATGAATGAGGACATATCATACCTAACAAGATTAACTGGCTGTTTCATACAACCAGACTTGTCATGGACAACATTCTCAATGCTTTTGAACCGTTGAGCTTTCTTCTCATTCTTGGCATCCCTTTTGTCTTGATGTGGACCGGGTCTATTCTTCGAGGGAAGGGCAAACTGACTAGAGTTGCCTGACTCGTCGCCATACTTGAATATGGTTCTGCCAGTCCAGAAGTCTATTGTCTGAATCTTTTGATCTACGGTCATGTCATCTTCCACAATTGCTGAGCTTTCATCTGACATGTGCATGTTGAGAACTGGGAAACCTTTAAATTCAACATTTTTGTCGAACATTGTAACCCGTTCTGAATGCAAAGATTTGGCAAACTCCCCCCCTCATCACCAGGCTCGAAGAACTTCTTACGTGGCTGGAGATGATACCTTGTCCAAGTTTTGTTGATGGGGTCATGTTGCCAAAAATCAGTTGTCCGATGTTGGGTCCGTGCTGCAGCAGCCGCCTGAGAGCCAAAAAAATGTGCAAAAGGATGAGCTTTTCGTTTAAGTTCAGGGTCACCAATGTTGACTGCTCTTTTGATGCTAGCCCATGCTTTTTCCATATTCTCAGTAGGGCCTGCAAGTTTGAAATCATCCACATAAACAAACAACATGCAATTGTACTCAGCATGGTACAGACTCTGAATCTGGGAAGCTCTTTTCATAGATTCGGGGTCTATGCACTACCTTTCTTTGCTCGCCATTTACAAGGACTTTGAAGTATTCCACTTTTGATGAAAATTCAGCAACAACTCTATGGCATTGGTCTTTCATGGCTTTTGGCAACTCTTTTCCCTTTGCAATGCAAGCATACCTTTGGGTGATGCATGGCGCAGCTTTTGCGCTGGCCTTCTTCTTTGGTGCAGGGCTATTTGTTCGTTTGGGATCCTTTGTGGGTGCAGCTGCGTTTCACGTTTGTAAAAACATGTGTCACCACGAGGACATTTGCCCTGTTGGAAGTACGCGCAAGGGATCTTAGCCATCTCTTCCTTTGATTTTCTTGATGGGGAAGCACTTCTACCACTGCCCTTACCCTTCTTTTTCGGGGTCCCAGATCTTGAGGTATCCTTGACATGTTTGTAGGGACAGTCCTTTCCTTTCTCACATTTACCATCCCGAAACTTGTAACATATCTTATCCCGTTTCGTGCTGTGGCTTCGATCGCGGGATCGACCTCGATCTCCTTTTCCTTTTCCACGATCCTTTCCCCCCTGAGCGGGTGCAGCGGACAATCCGGTTCCTATTTGATCGGAGTCTTCTCTGCCTAGAAGATCTCAGATGTTTTTCAGTAAGGAGCTCTGTCAAATGCTTCAATGTCATACTTCATCAACTGACATTTTCGGATTTGTCGAAGCAAGATGTCTCTAAGAACCAAGTCATCTGGTGGGGTTTCCATACCGGCAATAGTGGCATCCCATCGGTTCAAAAACCTTCTAAGGTCCTCCACAGACTCCCCAGTGCGAACGACTCCTAACAAGTCCTCGACACGATAGAGGCTACCGGCTTCCTCAGACGTCCTGAAGTAGTCTTCAAACATCAAAAGGACTCTCCTACCTCTCACCTGGATCCCATTCTTCGACTTCTCATCTTTGAAGTTATGGATCTTTGTTGCTAAATCACCCTTGGCAGAGCGAGTTAATGCTGCGGACAATTTGGTATCAAGTGTGATGAACTTGCCTGGGTCTTGTAGCTTTTCTTCCAACTGGTCCCTTGGGGTCTTGTTGTCAAAGACTTCATTGAGCCAAATCCAAGCCTCATCGGGTTTGTCGGAGCATGACTTGACCTCGTCCCTGACATGAGGCAGGCATGTCGTTCAGCTTGATAGTCTTTGCCTCTTTTGTGCGGGGCTTTTCACCATCTGAACCCTTTGAAGTCAGTCTAGTGATGAGATCTACAAGTTGTTGACCTGAAAGACCTAAGCCTGTCTCAGAACCCCTATTGTCAGGCTCACTTGCTACGACCGTAGGACTACGCACACTTGGTTCATTGTTTGCTTCTTCATGTGGTTGTCTTTGCACAGGTAGTGGTGGTAATTTTGGAGGTGCTGCTGATCCTGCAGGGGTAGTGGCAAACAGATTACTCAACTTTTCCTTTGCGTCTGCGGCTAAGCCGTCCATACCTGAGCTAGGCTTGGGTTCTGCTCCAGCCTTCGTACCAACCGAGTTTGGGGTCATGTACAAGTCCAGATTTATCCCGCCTAGTCCGTCATCATCATTGCCGACCTCATCAATCTTGATCTCAGGGGCGCTGTACTTGTTGAGTTTCTCCATCAGTTCCTCTGCTTGCTCTTGAAGTTGAAAGTTGAGTTCAGCAGCCTGGGATTCCTGTCTACTGCTCTCATCTCCTGGATTACAGCTTGTTCCTCTTTCTTGAATCCTTCCATACCTTTTCTTGCATATTCCACCGTGTCATCCACGATTCGTTTACAGTCTGCCTCGAGGCTACCTCTGAGTTCGGAAGACCTTTGTTCATACTGGGTTGCTAAGTGCGCTACCTTTTGGTTTGCTCTTTGCTCAGCTTCCAGCGCAACTGCATTTGCAGCATTCTTTAGCTTTGCGTTTGCATCGCTAAGTTCCTTCCTCAGTTTTGTGACCTCATGCTCAGCTGCCGTTCGGGACACTGTATGTTCTGCTGTCATCTGCTCATGTCTACGCTCAGCTTCTTCGCGATGTTGGGCAGTCTCACTGTGTGTGCCTTTCCTCAGCTTCACGTCTGAATGTTACCTTCATTTATGTAGGTAAGATTGTTCTGCACAAATTGAAAGTACGCCTGGACTGGTTGATTGAAGAAACCTTCATCTACAGCCATGGGCGTGGGATTTGTTCAGCCGAAGTATCCGACGGGGCTCCAGTGTGTGCAGGTGTCATTGAACCTGTTGCTGGGACGATAGCACCACCTTGTCCAGATATGTCACCAGGTGTCCTTTCCATGGCTTTAGAGGCTACGGCTGATAACCTGTATTTTCAGGTTTCATCAAGGGGATTATGTTATAATACCCAAATGGACTGATAAACCTAAAACCGTTAAGCAAGCAGCTAAAGCGCTTGGGACACCTGAGCCGCGACAGCTACCGTAAGCATACTATATCACAGTGTGTTTTACATGGGATGCAATTACAAGATCGCGGCATCGAACTCATTCAAGGACATACGCCGACTGCGTCCCCAAAGGTCAGGCTGAGCCAAGCAGCCATGGAAATCCTAATTTTCGGGATTCTTCAGACAATTTAGTTTGAGATAGTCGAATATCTTCTGCCATTCTCTGTACCACCAAGTGCTTCCAAGACTGTGCCTCCAAGACTCTAAGCGATCAGCTGGAAGCGATTCCAAAGTTGCGCGTCTCCCGTAGAGGACACCTGCTAAGCCATACCAAACAAGGCCAGAGCGAAATTTGAGCATGACAGCAAACAAGAGTGAACGCCTTTCCAAATACTAAACAGACCAAACTAAACAAACAGAATGCGGACCTGCATGGGGTCCAAAGAATTTGTAGGGAGAGCACGCTAAGAAGTCGCAGCTGATGCTCTGAACGTCCAAATGACCATGAGGAGCATAGTGGACAGCCTCACCGGGGCGAGTTGCTTAGGCCCTGTACTCTGCAGAATCGCATAAACTTTTCTGATCTAAACTGAAAGGCTTAGCAACGTCGTAGGCACTGTCACTGAAAGATGCTGAAAGACCAGAAAATAAGAGATTTAATATATATATATACATAATTATGTAAAATTAAGAGTTGCGTTGGCAGGCAACCATTGGAAAATCAAAAATAGTTTTTTTGCAAGGTTTGTAGCGAGCGGAGGCTCAATCAAATAGTGATTTAACATTTCAGAAGAGCAAGCGGATAGCAAGAAAATAGCGAGCGAATAGTGATTTTTCCGAGGAATACATTGTAAAATCTTAAATATATAATTTAACCAAGAGACATCAACAAAAGTCCAAGCTTTTCCATCAGAAAGTTGACGGGCTGTGTGGCATAGACCGGTGATGTCGTGTGCGGTTCCCACTCCGTTCGAAGCAGCGCCCATGGCCACAAATCGCGTTCGATCGTTCACGACCGCTGCGACGGCATCTCTGTTTGCATCCAAGGCGCAGCGAGAGAGGTCCTAGGTGCCACAGAGCACAAAGTAGCCATCTGAAGAGAAGCCAATGTGCCTGTTACAGTCTACATTTTTATGCCAAATACATACATACACAAATAAATAAATATGTAAAATCAGATTGCACATAACCAAATATACATATATATATAATTGTATACATATATAATTGTATATATATATATAATTATATATAATTGTATATATAATAACGTATGGATCAGAGGTATGGAACAGAGGTATGGAACGGATCCTTCAAGGGGGTATGGAACGGGGGTATGGAACGGGTGTGGTCCCGGAGCTTGTTCCGGACCTCCTATTTTGACTTGCCCCCATATATATATATATATATCACTATGAAAAACTTGTATAACTAAACGATACTAAACACTTAAATGACAAATTGTGACTCATTGCCGTGAAGGAAAAAATGTTGAAATGAAAACGGTCATTTTTTGCACGTCAGGCAGCCGTGATACTATTTATACGTTGTGCAGTCTTTATGTTGGATGGACTTACTCGGCAGCCATGGAACTCATATTCTGTCAGTAAAAATAGTCACAGCTTTTTCTCTAGACTACTGCCACAAGATCCAGTCCTGGTGAGTCGGTAGCCATCGCACTTCAACCCCATGAGATTTGGCCAGTTGGATCCAGGGCCAGACATTGGCACCATGGCTAATGGGATCCAAAACAATGTTGTCTCCTGCTGCAAACACGTTGCCATTCCTTGGACTGCGGTGCGAATCGATGCATGACATGCGAATCCTGTGTTGTGGCGCAAAGCTCAACCAGGAAAGACAATCTCGACAGGCCAAAGAGATGGGTGAAGTCTTCTGCAACGACAAGTCATTGAAGTACTTGGCACAATGCTGAGCATTTCTGGTAATTATTAATTCAGTAGTTGCAGAACCTGGCTCAACAACATAGTTTACTACTATACATCCACGTATATGATGTTATGGTTATGGTTGTTACGATTGCCAGTGATTATCCAATGTCTCTCGCTTGAACTAAGGCGCCGAAAAGCCCGCGACAAATGGTACACCAAGGCCGTCATGCTAGGACCGAAGGCTATCCTCGGTCAGGCTGACCTATTTCTCTGAAATTTGTGATTCTTTCAGAATAATTTCTGGGGCTTCTCAGGCTGTAAATTGTATATGCATGTATATATATATATAGGGTGTGAAATAGTTTTAGGATTTTTTTTTTGAACAGGTTTGGTTTTTTTTTTGGATTTCTTGGCTGGTACCATTTGCCTAGTGTTTGCAACGGTTTGGAACTTGAATTTGTCATTTTGCATGGTATTTGCAACACTTGGGCATGTTCACCTTCCATTTTGCATGGGATTTACTACATGTGGGCATGTTCACCTTCCATTTTGTATGGTATTTGCCACATTTTGGCATGTTCACCTTCCATTTTGCATGGGATTTCCTACATGTGGGCATGTTCACCGTCCAATTTGTATGGTATTTGCCACATTTTGGCATGTTCACCTTCCATTTTGCATGGGATGTTCTACATGTGAGCATGTTCACCCAAATATTTACAGATGCGGAAGCATGGGATTAGATAAAAAGCGGGTGGGGGGGATTGAGGGACGGCGCTAGCTATCTATCCAGCTAGCTAGCTATCTATCTAGCTAGCTATCTATCTAGCAAGCTAGCTATCTATCTACCAAGCTATCTATCTATCTAGCTATCTATCTACCTATCTAGCTAGCTATCTTGCTAGCTATCTATCTACCTATCTAGCTATCTAGCTAACTATCTATCTAGCTATCTAGCTATCTAGCTTTCTATCTATCTAGCTATCTATCTATCTAGCCATCCAGCTGTCTGTCCAGCTATCTAGCTATCGAGCTATCTAGCTAACTATCTATCTAGCTATCTAGCTATCTAGCTTTGTATCTATCTAGCTATCTATCTATCTATCTAGCCATCCAGCTGTCTATCCAGCTATCTAGCTATCGAGCTATCTATCTATCTAGCGAACTATCTACCTATCTATTTAGCTATCTATCTATCTATCTATCTATCTAGCTATCTATCTAGCTACCTCTTTATCTATCTAGCTAGCTATCTATCTATCTAGCTATCTATCTAGCCATCTATCTATCTAGCTATCTATCTAGCCATCTATCTATCGAGGTATCTAGCTATCTATCAGACTCTAGCTATCTATCTATCTAGCTGGCTATCTATCTATCTAGCTATCTATCTACCAAGCTATCTATCAGCTATCTATCAGCTAGCTATCTATCTATCTATCTGTCTGTCTGTCTATCTATCTATCTATCTATCTATCACATGTAATCCTGTCAGCTTTCCAGAGAAGGTTAGTTCGCAAAAACCAACTAATGTAACTTGGGTTTAAGTTTAAATTAAAAAAAGCGGGAGGGGGCCCTCCCCCCAAAGCAGAATGCAAGCACCTCTTCTCACATGTTACGTTGCTAGTTTTCAAGAGAAGGTTGGTCATGTGATACTCAGGGATGTAAATACTGTGCAAAATGCATCTTACATGAAAATCAAGTATTTAAAGCAGGCAAAGCCAAAAAAAAGCAGAGAAGCAAAAAAGCAGAGAAGCAAAGAAACAGGAAACGCACAAAAGCAAAACAGCAGAAAGGCAAAGAAGCAGGAAAAGCAGAAAAGCAGAAAAGCAAAAAAAGCAGGAAAAGCAGGAAAAGCAGAGAAGCAAAGAAACAGGAAAAACAGAAAAGCAAAAAAGCAGAAAAGCAGAGAAGCAGAGAAGCAGGAGAAGCAGAAAAGCAAAAAAGCAGAAAAGCAGAGAAGCAGAGAAGCAGGAGAAGCAGAAAAGCAAAAAAGCAGAAAAGCAGAGAAGCAGAGAAGCAGGAGAAGCAGAAAAGCAAAAAAGCAGAAAAGCAGAGAAGCAGGAACAGCAGGAAAAGCAGGAAAAGCAGGAAAGCAGAGAAGCAGGAAAAGCAGGAAAAGCAGAGAAGCAGGAATCCAAAAATAATTCCTAAACCTGATCAAAAAAAAAATCCTAAAATAATTAGCCCTCCTAAAGTAAATTGTATATGCATGTATATATATATATATATGTATACATATATATATATATACACACATATATACAGTATATTTAAAGAATTGTAAAGATCAAGTTTGATCACCAAACTCACCTGACAAAGACATGCCGACTGCAAATACAGGACAGATCAGAACAGGATTTTCGAAAATCTGTGCTGCACCACGAACCTTTCTATGTCAAAGAGAAGTTCGTTTGATTCAATATGATTCAATAGGATCGGTTAATATCGGTTTCGTTACGTATCTTTGCAGAGCGTCTCCTCTGTGGCACAGTTCAGGAACTGCGCCATGGCACTGCGGGCGCTGCTGACTGCCTGTTCTGCACGGCGGCTGGAGTCATAGCTGCCGCCGATATTGGCCGTGCCAAAACGCAGCTGATCCATCATGGCTTCCAAGACGCTCCTCAGGATTTGCGATGAAAGATCACAGCGATGAACATCTGTTCACTATCTGTTCACTCTTCAGTTGGTCAAAAAAACATCGAGCAAAGCTAAGCTTAATGAGAACATTTACAAAATCGAGCAAGACTAATGATGGCTGTTTGCAACGCATTTCACACTTTTCATCTTCCAATCCAACGTGTGTTTACTTCCATAGGGCAATTTCTCCAAAGTTCTATCGACTTTCTTTCTTCAAGTGGCTTCCTCCATCATTGACCTGAAGATTAAAATTGTTACAGAACACTGGAAAATTTCATACTGACTTTACATTCTTATTATAGATTCTTATAGATTCTTATAATACTTTTTTTTGTCTCCAAGGGGGTAGTCCAAGCGTCTCATGCACTTGCGAGCCACTGGCCCCGTCCGCCAAAACTGGCACTTCCTTGCCATGTCTTCCATGCGTTCCGTGCATTCCATGCGTTCGGACCGTTCGGAGACCTGGGAATTCTGACCGCACTGCGGCTGCCATGGCTGTGTGGTCATAAGTCTTCAAGGTGCGAACCGACTCATAGTGAGTCGAAGGGAAGAAATCGGCTTTGCGATAGCTGAAGAAAGCCACATCTCGATCACAACTGGCACGATTGTGTCCTCCTCTATGCAGGATTCGGTCATCAAAAATGAGTACTGAACCTGCACCCATAGTAGCTGCAATAGGCTCTTCGGATGATCCAATTTTCTGCGGAGAGTTGGTTTCAGCTTGATACAAGATCTCTGTACCAAAGGCTGCACCATCCTTAAGGTGGTTGGTCAGTAAGTGTGAGCCTGGCACCAATTCGGTGGGTCCCATCTCTCGTGTTACAGTCTCTGAGGGCACTAAAACATTCAACAAATGTGGAGCTCGATGCTCAGGGAAGGAATGCGGTGAGTCCGCGTGCCAAATTTGCGCTTCAGATCTTGGTTGAGCTCGAACCAGGCCAGCAAAGGCCCTCCCAAGGCCTCGAGGTTCAAGGCCATCATCAGACGCTTTGGACGTGCCTTCTGCAAGAACTTTGCTTGCAATGCCCTCAATTCTTTCGAGCAGTTGTGATGGAAATTCTTCAAATTCGCAGGGGACATCATATCTGCCTGGGGATCGAAGACACACTTCTCGAAATCCCGCACGGCTACCAATCCCCAAAGAGACACGCTTTGTCTGCAACATTCCCATGACCTCCTTGGCCTTTGAAGTGGCAGGCTCTGTCAAAGTCTTCAACTCATCTGCGTCGAAGAAGTCTTTCAAAATCACAAAGCCATGTTTCGCGATGCTCTCAGCAGCCAGATCCTGGTGGTTGGCCTCTTCAGCTAGTATGATCCATGGAGGCTGAGCTTCTTGTCCAAAGAGACGCTTCTGAGCACACAACGAGCTGTGCGAAAACACAGGCGTTTCAGGACGCAAGTGACGCAAGCGACAAAAGGTGCTTGCTGATTGTCTTGCTCTCCTCAGCCATTGCGTTTGTCTCATGCTGAGCGTGAGCGTGGCGATGATATGTCTTGTAGAGTGTTTTTAGAATCAAGAATCACAATCTCCTTTGCCAGCGGTGAACACACACACACACCACACAACTGTCAATAGTCAAGTCTTTGGAAAATCTTGGAAACCTTCAATCATTCTCTGTTGGGTCCAAGCTCCTCTGAAAGTCAGTCACAGATTGACGTTGTCTAATAATGCAGCCATCTATTCTACATGATCTTTCGGAGCTAAAGATGCGTCGCCGAATTTTCCAAACTATCCATTGGTTCAAAATGCCGCAGGTTCACAGATGAGCCTAATGCCTGAAATTAATTCAGATTCTGATGAATGATGATGAATGATCAATATCTGTTCTCTCTCTCTCTGTCTGGTCAATCACCATGATGCGTAGGCAATGATACCAGTCAAAAAAGTTTTGCAAAGGCAGGAAGCAGAATCCTCTGGATGGACCCCATAGCTATCCGAACCCTGCTGGACCCTGGACCATGCCTGGCGCTTGTTGGCTCCGAAAAGTTGTAGGATTTGAGAGTATGTTATTTGGGCTATGGGGTTCTCTGTTTGCTGTGTGACCGAACTGCCAACTTTGAAAAGTCAGAAAACATGGCTTCCAGATCGACATCTGTTGCAATTGAAGCCTTCCTTCTTCTCTTGATATTATGACTTGTTGACATGTCCTATAGCCACACGGCTGCGACAAGAATTGATCAGTCTCCCTGCACAAAACAGTTCCACGCGCGGCCTAATCAGATTCGGGCAATCAGACACGGGATTGGTGTTGACAGTCGACATGGGAGTCTGTGGGAGCATCTCCACGCGTGCTATGTCGTGCTGAAGTCTTACTTGCAGAATGAGGCACTGAAGCCAAAGCTCTGCCAGCCATTCACCTACCAAGCCAGGTGCACAAGACGGACTCCATGGACAGCTCTTCTGCCAAACCGTTTTGAGTGCCGATCGATTCAAAGTATTTCCAATTCAATGGCCAGAGTCTTGCAGCTCCAGTTTTCTCCCCAACACTCCACAACACTCCCCACTGGCCAGCATGGAGGATTGCATCGACGTTCGCTTCTTGCGTTTCTCCCAGCAGCAGCCCTCATATTCTTGGACTTTCCTCATGACTGTGGGCATCGTGGCCATCCATGGGCAAATGTGACATGGAAATGTTTGTCATCGCTCCATCTCCTTCAGCTCTGACTGACCTAAATCCTCCTAAAGATTCCCAAGACCGAAAGTTCATGCTTGAAAACGTTGCGTTGCACTTGCTTTGTTTACTTTGTCTGGCATTACCTGTTGCCTCCTTTGAGGCCCCTGGCACTCCGGGAGGCTGGTATTCCTGGCATTTGAGCTTAAATCTGTCCTTTTCCTTTGACTTTGAAACAACTTTATGGAAGGCAACTATGCGCTGTGTAACTAAGGCGTTTATTAGTCAGCCTGGCCCTCCCAGAGCTCATTCTCTGCGCTGTCCACATGAAAGGGAACGCCTTGGATCCCGCACCCCCAACTTGCTCAGAAGTAGGGGGGTGGATCCTGCGGTTCTTGAAAATATGATCATACAAATTCAACAAACAATCACTGTTGGTTTTATTGTTTTTTCATGGGGGTCAGTTAGGGTTTGATTGTTTTGGTCCGCATCCATTGTGAACCCCTGGGGGAATTATGGAAACATATTTACCAACCTTTTCTCATTTCCCCGTTGTTTCCGAGGTAAGCACAACCGGGGGAATCCACGACAGGGACACACAACGACGTCCCCGAGAAGCCGACACCGGGGGAACACTACGAGCAGTGCAGGTAACGGGGGGCATTGGAGGCCGAGGGCTCAAGGCCAAGAGCTTGGCACAGAACGTGATGAGACACAACGGGGAGATAACGGGAAGACACAACGAGGACATGGTGGATTTATCGTGTAAACCGTTGGAAACAGCATCAGCAAAAAAACGATACAGACGATTAGATTCTTTTCGTCTGTATATGTATTTGTATGTGTATATATATATATATATAAATATATGTATACTGACAAGTATTAAATCCTATATTCTTATGCAGATGTTTGTGTTACGTGTATGTGTTGAATGTCTGATTGTGTATGCGCTGTGAATAGATAGATTCGCATTTTAAATCATTTTTGTATTTTCAAATGGCCAAGAATAAGTACCAAGGAATGGCAAATGGTGGTCGAATTAAAAATCACGGAGGTTCATTCATCTTCATTGTGGCATGTTTAAAGAAACGATGTGCCCAGATGAAAAACATAGCTACACACTTTTTGAAAGTATAGCGATGTTAATCTTACCCGGTGTATGCGCTTCCATTTCGGGAGCATGTTGGGTCTATCTTGGATCATTTGGAAGCGATCCGGGGCCTGTTTGGGCCAGAAACTTCGCACTAAAACATGTGCATTTTTTTGTGCTAAAACTTGGGTTTGTTTGCATGTTGGGCCACGTTGAGCTCATGTTGGGCCTCTATTGAGCCATATTGAGTCTATCTGTGGTCATTTGGACGCGATTCGGGGCCATTTCAAGATTCTTTGCAGGGGCTACTTAGTTCTCCCTTAGCAAGATGTGCAGCATCCAATTGCAAAGGAAGGTATGCTTTTCATACAATACCCAACCCCCTAAGCTAACATACATTTTCTTGATCTGCGCTGTACAGGGCATCCCCCCTAAAATACATGTGTAGGGGTGGGTGATCGCCTTGGCATGTCGTGGACATCAAACATCAAGATTGGCATTCGTCTCAACTTGCCTCCGAACACGATGGATTTTCATGGGTTTCTCTTTGCTTTTCTTTGCCGGGACCGCTTTGATTCATTTCCTGCATCTGGTATCTGTTAAGGAAAATGCATGAAAATACTGCATCTGGGAGCCGGGGCAGAAGTGCTCGATGGAGGATGACACCAGCAGCTCGGAGCGGGAGGAGGAGGAGGAGGGCTCAGTGCTCGGAGCGGACGATGACGGAAGCACCTGGGAATGGGGCGGAACTGTTCCGGTGACCGCACAGAAATCGGAACAATATCAACCGATCATCTTCCTTAGTAGTTGAATATAACATAATGATACATAAAACATCATAAAACATCATGATACAACTGAAAATTGTTCTGCGACTTGTGATACGTGTGGTTTCTCCGTTCTCTGGGGGGTTTTGTATCCCGCACACCACTCCCCAGCCTCGAGTTGGAACAAGGCGGCGGCCCCGCTCAAGGCCCATTGCAGTTGCCAGTGACTGCCAGAAATCACAATTCCCGGCGCAGTACCCAATCCTGGCACTTGCACCTGCGATATGGTCAAAGTGGCCAGTTTGACACGACATGTAAAAAAAATAAGGGTGAGTAAGTGAAAGCATGCGAACAAAAAACCACTAGCAATAACATACTCTCCACCGTGGGAATGTTGTGCTTCAGTTACCATGCCTGTTGCCGTTGTACTTCGGCTTGGCGGAGATCAAAGAGTGTCTGAGCCATCTGAGATCCGTCATGCGAGTAAACCTGCCAAGTGAGAGATATCCAGAGATCCTGATCGGATGAGCGCTTCCTTCGAACATGGACGCGAAGCCTTGAATCTGACATGATAAGCATCCAAGCATTGACAATCGGTGCTATTCGGTGCCTCTAGTATCCAACCAGTCAAACAAAGTCCTTTGGAGGACAGCCGCCAACCTGCGACGGGCTTCGGGCAACTTTGGCCCCCATCGGTCATTTGAGGCTTATCACGGCTTACCTATTTCTCGCTAGTTGGGAGACATTATTGACCGTGTATACCCCATCTAACTCTCTATCTGCTTGTCTATCTATCTATCTATCTACCTATTTACCTATCTACCTATGGATCAATCTACCTATCTACCTATCTACCTACCTACCTACCTATCTACCTGTCGATCTACCCAACTACCCAACTACCTATCTACCTATCTACCTACCTGTCTACCTACCTATCTACCTATCCACCTATCTACCTCTATATCTATCTATCAATCTGTCTGTCTATCTGTCTATCTGTCTGACTGTCTATCTGTCTATCTACCTATCTACCTATCTACCTATCTACCTATCTATCTATCTATCTATCTATCTATCTATCTGCCAATGTTAAACCTATCTGTCTATGTATCTACCTGACTATCTCTCTATCTGTCTATCTGTCTATCTATCTATCTATCTATCTATCTAACTAACTAACTAGCTAGCCTCTCTATCTATCTATCTATCTTTCTGTCTATGTTAAACCTATCTATCTATGTTTCTACCTGTCTAACTATCTATCTCTCTTTCTGTCTATCTATCTATCACAACTAACCTATCTATCTATCTATCTACCTATCTGTCTGTCTATCTATCTACCTATTTATCTGTCGATCTATTTATCTATCTATCTATCTTTCTGTCTATCTATCTATCTATCTATCTATCTATCTATCTATCTATCTATCTATCTATCTATCTATCTACATATCTATCTATCGATCTGTCTATCTATCTATCTATCTATCTATCTATCTATCTATCTATCTATTTGTCTATCTATCTATCTATCTATCTGTCTATCTTTCTGTCTATCTATCTATCTTTCTATCTATCTTTCTATCTATCTATATCTATCTATATCTATCTATATTTATCTATATCTATCTATATCTATCTATATCTATCTATATCTGTCTATATCTATCTATATCTATCTATATCTATCTATATCTATCTATATCTATCTATCTATCTATCTATCTAATTATCTATCTATCGAATTCTCTATCTTTCTATATCTCTATCTATCCTCTTTATCTATCTATATCTCTATCTAGCTAAATCTCTATCTATCTAAATCTCCATCCATTTATTTCTCTATCTATCTATATCTCTCTATCTGTCTCTTTCTTTCTATCTCATCTACTAAGCTTCTAATCGGCTAGTCTACTAATCTACCCGTCGATTAATTTACCCATCTACGGGTCTATCTATCGATCTGGGTTGGACCTATCCATCAATCTATGTTGAATCTTACCCACGTGTTTAATCAATCTATATGGTCCATCCATCTACGCGTGCAACCTATCTATATGTCGATTCTATCTGCATGTTTAATCTATCTATCTAAATGTTCAATATACCTATGCGTCTAATCTACCTACATGTTGATCCTACCTACATGTTGATTCTATCATTCTCTCTACATGCTGAGTCATTTACATGTTTAATCATTTATATGTTTAATCTGTCCAACTTTCTATCCACCTATCCACCTATCGACCTATCTATCTATCTTTCTATGTTTGAACCTACCTATCTATCTACCTACCTACCTACCTACCTATCTCTCTGTCTATCTATCTATCTAGCTAGCTAGCTAGCTATCTATCTACCTATGTGCCTATCATCTATCTATCTACCTATGTACCTATCATCTATCTATCTACCTATGTACCTATCATCTTTCTATCTACCTATGTATCTCCCTATCTCTCTATCTATCCATCCACCTATCTATCCATCCATCTATCTATCTACCTGGCAGGCCCCCCTCAAACATATCATTTTATATGTTTCAAACTCAGTGGTGGGACCAATGGGGGCTGCCATCCAGCTTAAATACGTGTATGCATACATATTTCTTTGGAGCCCGGGTCTTTGTGGGAGGGCGATTTTTGGTAAGTTTATGCATTGAATAGTGAGGAACATGAGTCACTTCAAACATCTGTTTATGATGCATGTCTTAGTTTTGGGGCTTAGCAGTTGTATAGCTAAAAGGCTATATTTATACGTATAGGTATGTATTGTGTTTCAAAATGGCGTCAAGTCTTGTGTGTATACGGTACGCATCCAAGTTTGTACATTAGGCAAAAATAAAACTACAAGGACCTGAAAGCAAACCCGTCAATCAGCTGGGAAAATTCAGTTTGGTAGAAATATGCTGCGATGCAGCCGTTTTTGCTTTGAAATATTGTACTGAGTCAATGAATATCAAACAGAAATGGAATTCAGTTTTGACCGTTTGCGCAAGGCTCAAGGATAGGGTGGTGTTTGCTTTGATGCTGCATGTCTTGAAAGCAGAGCATGAACAAGAGGAAGCAGCATGTTTGATTGACAGGAGATTTCATTTCGTCTCCAAGCAGTACCGCATCTTGCTGACAGAGTTCCCCGCATCTTAAAGAGATATGGAAAGCTTTGTAACGGTAAGCATGCTATTCTCTTGAAAAAATCGGTGTTTTTCAACACAGTATCAACTCAGGTTGTCAGGCCAACCGCATGCTTCCCATCAGTCACCATTAAAAAAATTGTAGCATGCCTTAAGGAAGTTGTGGCATACGTCCATGCAATATTCTTTTACAGGGAGGGCAACATTAGTGTGAAGCAGAACCCTGAGATGTGCACAGCATTCCTTTTGAAAGAGTGCACCATGTCTTACATATATTGTGGAACAAATATGGTATGTCTTCCATAGAGATAGTACCATGTCAGAGAAGGGTAGCGTCTCTCCAAGATAAAAATTGAATATATACACATTAAAATTTCAACAATGCGGCATTCCTTTAACAAAGTACTTGATAGCTTCATGAAATATTAACTTGAACAATGGTGTTATGCAATCTCCCTTCGAAAAAGAAACAGCATTCATTTGGAAAAAGTAGCATCCTTTTAGAATAATGTAGTTTACTGTATCCTATTTTATTGAAGTATGTTGATTATTTCACATGTATACGCAGTGTTGCCTTTAAAAGTGTGTGGCATTCCTTAGAGAAAGTAGCCTTCAGGACACACAGCAATCCTTGTGAAAGAGCATGGCATTGTTGAAGTGCTTGTACTAAAGGGAACCCTTTCATATATATATATATATACGTGGGCAAATAATAACCTGAAATAAGGTCATTTTGCGATGATTTCCTTTATTAACCATGATTCCAATGAGGTCGCAGTGCGGTCGTTATAATTTGACCTGACATATAGATATGTATATGTATATCTTCGAAAAAGGGTGATGCTTCTGTAAGAAAGTGCAGCATGGCTCCATGGAATGGTCATTTGAACAGGAATAATAATCCTTGGAAAAAGTCGAGCGTGATTTTGAAAAGGTATTCTTCAATCAGAAGTTGCGCTTTTAGAGACGATTGCGTTCCTTGAGGACAGTGCGGCGTGCCTTTATGCAAATTTCCTTGAAAAAGAAAAAGATGCAATATTGTTCTATTCCTCTGGTGACATTCCCGGCTTTGAAAACATACACAAACAGGGCCGCCGCCTCCAGATAATTGAAAATAAGGCCTCCCCCCATTTAGGAAAAAACAACACCTTCAACAAAACCAAGAAAAACAAGAAAAACCTTCCAGAAAACACCAAAAAAAACACACCTTGGGAAAAAAAACAAAGAAACACAAAAAACAATATTCTGGGACTCTTGCCTGGCCCCCCCTCCGAAGAGCCTGTTTTTTTTGAGTTTTTGGGTTTTCAAAGGGTTTCGCCCGTTCGAACGAGCCTGGAAGTATGTTTTATTTATTTTTTGGTCTTCCAAACGTTTTGTCAATTCTTGGGTGTTGTCGATGATTTTTTGACTGCCATGGTTCCATGCCAGACTCATGCCTATGGAGCAGCGGGGGACTTAGGGACTTATAAGTTATGAAGTAAGTTCACTTGTAAGTGGCTATGTGGCATGGCAAGTTAGTTATAAGCTTCTAATTGGTTCCCAGGATGTGGTAGGTTAGATTTGACTTACTATTGATTTAGGGTGAGATATAAGTTTTATAAGTGAAATGATCATGACTTAAAGATCACTTAGCGACTACTTAGTTGAGATTTTGAAACGTACGTTTGGGGAAGTGTTTTGGGTTAGCTCTGAAATCACGATGGTTTTTGCAGGCATTTTGGTTCCAGGCATGTCGGTTGAAAAGCAGTTGGAAGCGGCTCAAAAATTCCTAAGAGGAATTCGGTCGCTGACCTCCTACGCGGAGGTCAGGGACAAACAGGCTTCGGGTCTTTTGAAAGCCTTGGAGAAAGTGCAGTGCTTCACGGCTGCTCAAGCGGCAGTGTTGCTGGCACAGGTGCAGCCCGACTTATGGGGTGAGTCTCAAGTGGACTCATTCCGTGAGAAGGTTGCGCTGAAGACGAGGCCGGTGGAAAGCGATCAGCCACGTGCTGTGACCCAGGACTTTTCGCTGCTGCCATATTATTTGAATGATGAGTTGGCAGCAGCGATTGGGCAGGTGGATGGTGACGCAGAGCGGTTGCTGTTTCGCTTATGCCATCATGCGGCGCAGCTGAGCCTAAGGAATGCCTCCGAGGCGACCAAGGCCACATTGGTCGTGATGGCTCACTGGGCCTCATGCAAGCGTGGAGCCTTTTCTCCAAAGCAGCAGCATGAATTGTTTCTGCGTCACAAGCCGGCTGTGACGAAATATTTGGTAGCACCACCAGAGTCTCAATTATTGGTGGAGTTGCCGCTTCAATGGCAAGATTTGGATCCGCAGATAATCCAACGTGCGTTTCCTACGGGGAAACCTGCAAGCATGGCAGAGACTGCGAGGGACATTTGCGACTATGTTCGTCGCTTCCCTTTACGGAGGGATAATAAGTTGCTGCAAGGCACGGGTGGTACGTCCAGCACAGTGCCTGCCGGGTTCCCAAGTGGAGTTTTGCCAGTGGAGGATGTCTGTCGAGTAGTTGCCGCATGCAGCCAATCATTCCAAGCGCAAGTGCAGCGGCAGCAGTCGA